ACCTTAATGATTCTATGATTCTAACAGGTACCGCACCCTAGGTTATCAAAATAATGGTTAATGAAGTGGGGCTAGAAAAAAAGGAAAAGAAAGAGTGAACTTTTTAGAAGGAAATATTCAACATATAATACCCTTGAGTATGAGGTTTTCTTACTAGACAAATAAATTAATTTGGGATCCATCATTGTATCTACAATTTCTGTAGCACACAAAGGAAACACTAGCAATGCCAGACCAGGAGAAATTGGTATGCCAGAAGAAGAGCCACAAGAAAGGGGGAGAACATGAGCAAAATTAACACCAGCATCGAGGGAAAGGAATGCCCCTCACTGAGGCAAGAAAAACAGGAGGCAGATAAAATCCAAATTCAGGGCCAGATGGACGCCACACTAAAACTGATTTAACAGGATGGGAAAGGCCAATAGGTTTTTTGAGCAAAAGGAAAGTGGCAGGCTTAGGCAGCCTGGCTCACCCCATGGGTGGCTGTGGCATGTTTTGTAGGTTTTCTGGGACGACCCATCCATGGGTCCCGGGCAAAATGTCTTTAGCTCATTGGAGCTATTGTGGGTACCTGCACAGGAGCCTGCATGGCCAGCAGAGCAGGGAACATACTGGCAGTCTGGAAACTGGAAATAAGTTAAGTAAAAGGTACATTAATTTGAACAGAACCCTGCATGAAGCCTCTTTTTTCACTCAGAGACAAAAAAACCCTCCCCACTGTCCATGCTTTGGCTGCACCTTCAGAGAGAAGGTACTAGAGCACACATCTGCCCAGCCACCATCACCAGCAGCTTTAAGGATGTCCCAAATTGGGGATAAACTCAAATTAACAGAAGGGGTGAAATTACATTGGAATAATGAAACTGCCTTAATCCCTGTATCAACACTCGTTCCACATTCAGATAGCTTTAACTGCAATCATTTTAAGTGCATTAAGCTACATCAAACAAAGGCTATGTCACTTCCAAATGAGGAGGTCACCTTAATAAGGCAATATCATTTATTAGTTTCACAGTTTTTGTCAATCAGTTAAGTTTAAGACACCCAAATTCAAAACAACCTTTTCCACTCAGGAATTTAATGCAGCTCAGTGAATGCATTTTCAATCCAAACCTTTTGTTTTCCTGATTCATTTTCTTGAGGACAAGCCCTAGCTGCCATGATATTCTTCCCGGCTGTTGCAAAAGACAGGCTGAGGAAAACCCAAGAAGACTAAAATACTCTCTGGCCCTTAGCTATGTTGGTTTTCAGTTGCATTGCAAGGAGGATGGTGAAACTAGCCTGGACAATGACAATGCAAGTTATCACATCAAGTTTTTACCTCATTCACATCTACACATTACTTAAAGGACGGTATTTCCGTTTGCCGTGCTGCCAATTTAACCACATGGCACTTAAGTGCTGCGGCATCTCTACGCTAAAGAACATTATACACATTAGGATTTATAAATCCTCTGAATTGTAGAAGGTGACTCCAAAGAGGTTTAAAAAACATCTCTGGCAAAGTTTATTTAACTGGAACCTGACAGTGCTTTTAAAGCCCATGAAACTTTCCTCACATACTTCAAAGGATCAATTTCTGGCCCTTATAATCTGAAAAGAAAATATGCAGATCTTTTTGTTTTCCTAAACTTCCTTTTCTTTAGCATCTAGAAACACAACGTTTGAAACAAAACACTCGCAACATATTTTGCCATGTACAGTAGCTATGATACTATAGCCTATATACAGCGGCTCAGAGGGAGATGGAATCAACACTAACACATCTCGCCTGCTGATCCACAAAGCTGGTGCACTTGCAAAGGAGTTAGTTCCTTATAATCACAAGTGATCATTTTCTGCCTGGAAATTTGAGAACTGGGTAAAACTGACACAAAAGCTTACTTTAGTTCCTTCATGTAATAATTTTACAAATTTTCCAAATATATTTGTATCGATGACTTTCTAGATTAAGGTATCCAACTGAATAGCCCATGAAGAAAATATATTCATTTTAGTCCATTTTAATACTATGCTATTCCAAAATAGCCTCGGGCAGAGAGTGATGCTGAATGAGAGTGAGGTCAGTGGAGAATTGTTCCCTTCTCACTTTGCTAATCACATCACTCTCATTTTGTGACTGTGTTTCTGATGTGACAGCTTTGGGCCAAAACAACTCCAAGAAAGCTGTGCTCTGCTAACACATCCAGAAAGGTGCAAACCGGTAACGACCAGTGGGAAACTTATTTGATATCCAAGAAAACATCACACACAGCTAAACGGATCATGCTTTTCCCTCCTTGCAGTCGTCTCTATCTCCACGCTGGCCTGACCGCTGCCCAAACACACGCCGTTGTCAGTGCACCCGCTGCGGGCAACTTCAGTGACAGGTTGTAACTCTGTACACAGTGAGGGTTTGCGGAGGCTTCTGCAGGATTTGAAAATTCATATGATTGTCAGAGATGGATTTATCATCACAGTTATCAAGGCCTCTAAAAACACAGACAGTTAAGGGAGATAGGGAGGCAATAAAGCAGCCCAGCATAACTAGTGGTTTTCCAAGCCCAGATGTGTTTGAGTAAACACCAGCAGGAACAAACTTCTGATAAATTCACTAAGAAATTAGGAGAGTAATACTGTCAAAGGCAACGCCTGAGAACTATGAGAGCATTAAAGGCACGGCTGATATCGCACTGTGCTTTGATATCGTGTGCTCTAATTAGAATTGAGGGCAGAGATGACTTACCAAGAAACCACTCCCTTTCCAGATACGGGGCTACAAAAACAAGGAGGATTGTAAGAAATGTCAGCCTTAAGGTATTATGACAAAGGGTAATAACGATCATACAGTTCATTAATATACCGCTGTGCAAGGCAAGGATATCAGAGCACTTTGCAAATATCCATTAACTTTTCACCACATCCCTGGAGGAAATCAATAAGCCAGTATAACCAGGTATGAGAAGCAGAGGAAATGGAGGTACCAGAGAATCCCCAAATCCTGATCTCACTCTAAAACACAGCTGCACGCTCGTCCTGCAGTCTCAGACAGCGAGGACACCCTACAGGTGTGTCAAGGGACGCACGTGTGGCATACAGCCTTCACAGGAAAAAGATCGTACACGTGGTTTCATTGAGACCAGTAACAGATCACGTCCTTCTTAGCCACTTACTTCATCAACAAAGAGCTGTGCAAAGGTTTGGTATTCCTCACTGCTTGTATTGCTAAAGCCCGGAGAGTATTTCACATTTGTTATCCGTACTGTGCCACTAAGTTTCTGGACAGCTGCAAAGTAAGAAAAAAACAATTTAAGTACATGTTCCATGGACTGTAATCCATGGACAAGTGTGTGTCACTGGCATGCCTGGCCACACGGGGTATGCATCAACTCATAACAGCAGAAGGCCAGCCCTCTGAAATGTAGCCGGAACCCCAAATGCCTAAACATAGGCACCCAGCACCTTAGTCTGGCCTCTCTGGCCTCTGGATGCCTCTCAAGAAGGGCACAGACCTCCTGTAGGTCTTATATCTGCCAGCTCTGTCTTGGATGCCCTGGGGCATCTGAAATGTTGCTCTATGGCTATGCTCAGGCACCTGAATTGCTCTCCGAGACTCAACTAGCTGTCCCAGCTCCCTCGCAACGGGGCAACACCAGTCCCTTCAGGGGGCAAATCATTCCAGCACCAAGGTCCTCCCTCCAACCTCAGAGGAAGGCTAGACCACTGCCTGAGATTAGACATCTACATTTTAGGCAGCTATTGCAAGATGAGATGAATCCCAACAGGGTGTACGCCTCCTCCCTGAAGTTGTATCTGCTGAATCACATTAAGGCAGTCTCAAATGTTTTAGGTAATTTCTCACTATCAGTGGTTTTGGCATTGTCACTACAGACACTGAAGGTGATCACAAGCAGGAGCAAAAGGGCTTCTCAAGACATGATTCATACCCCAGCATTCTTTTAGTGGCTAGCCAGGCAAGCTGACTGCCATCACCCAATACCGTGACCATTGCCAGCCAATTTTCTTCTCAGTGCCTTCCAGCTGCTAACAGATCATCACTCCTAGCGTACCAAGATCTAACGTTTCAATGTTTTATATGAATATAGGATAGTCTTCACCAAAGACTTCAAGAACTCTATCATCTGGCTATGGATTCAGTTTAAAATTGTTTCTGAATCAAGTTACCAGTCTTTACCTTCTGGTGTACCAGCTTGCTTTCCTCCCAACACACATATGTCCTGATTTCAACAGTATATAAGACACCACGTTCCAGCTCTGAGACTGTCAAACTCCTATACTGAGTTTTAGTCTCCCATATTAGCTGCTTCTTCTGAAGCAACAAGAATTGAAAAGCAGGGCTCTGCATAAACTCTGTGGACCATGTTATACCAAAGTTGGTTCTAGTCACATTGGGGACAGTAATCCTTTGAGCTGGGACAGGTACTAGAAGAAAAGAAATAACCAAGTAAAGCTTTGCAGGTGAGAGGAGAAAGTCATGCCTGCTTAAAGCAAGCCACCACAGCAGGCTTTCTTTATCCCAGCACACTTCCGATCCCAAAGGAACCCTCACCACCACCAGTCAGATCAAAGGATTTGGGTTTGCTTTTTGCTATGGCTTGTCCTGTCATGTGAACATAGGTATTTAGGAGATAAACCACATCCAGTTACCTGATGGTGAGAAGGGAAAATGTTCTGAACAATTTTTGAACAAAAAAAAAAAAATCAGTATTTAAAAGACATGACAGACTATGAAGAGTTGGCTGAGGTTAACCCGCCAGGTCAAAGATGTTGCCACAAGGAGGAGCTATATATTAAACTTCACCAAACATGGATTTTTGCCCTCTGAATTTCCTGCCCTGGGCTAGTGATATACCACTATAGTGGCTCTTCCCCTTATTCCCCAGGCATAATCCCTTCACAAGCTTCTTTCCCAGCAAAAGCATTTGGCTGAATATTTGATTCATCAGGAAAAGAAAACAAGTTTTTATAAACAGAACTTGTTTGTGTAGAATTCTTCAATTTGTTTTCCAGCTGGGATAAAATGACCTTTGTTTTTTTGACAGTTAAAATTAGCTATTTTGATATTTTTTTAAAAATAAACATTTTTGGTTTTATTTAAAAAAAAAACACCACCACTTTTTTTTTTACTCTTCCCTACATTGAAAGGGGGCAGGGGCAACACAAAGCAAAGCAGTAAATGGAGCTTTTCAATTTAGGTCAACATGCTGTTCAGTCCAAAATTATTTGTTTCCTCCATTTGGCCACCGAGGTCCCAAATCAGTTATTTGCCCGGCTCCGTTCCCAGGTCTCACCAATGCCAGGCAGAGCGAAGGATACAACATGAAGAAGAGAGAAGACAAAAGCTGAGCAGGGGCATCGGCATGGCTGCCCAGAGCTTAGCAGGACTGGAGAAGTGGACACTGGTCATCAGGACTGGTGGTACAAGAGAGGCTGGAGAAGCAGCAGAGCTGGCCTTACCCGGCTGAAAAAGAGGTTTTCCAGGGAGAAAGGAATGAGGGAGAACCACAAGTGGGGCTGGATGAGTGGAAACCCCCAGGAACAGGAGATCATAGGGAAAGGGAAGAGAAAATAGCAGAGGGGAGTGCGGTTTGGGATCGGAGAGATGTGGAGGGCATGAGAGGCAGAATAAAGACAAGCAGAAACAAAACTGAAATAGGTATCACTTACTAACACACTAAAGAAAAAATACATTCAGTGATGGGCAGAGACAGCAGCATTCCTATCCCAAACAAAACCGTAATTTAAAGACCAAATCTGACTCTAACCTTGAAAATATGATTCAGCTCCAATCAACAGAAAAATCCCCTAATTAGCTGCAATACATCTGCCCAGACCCAAACAGATGAAGCCCTCCCCGCCAGCCTCGTTACTCTCAATTACAGCTCTTGAAAAAGTGGCTCAGGGTTTCCACGCAGCTCCTGTCCTGCAGGGATTTGCGGGGCTCTGCCTAATCCATCCTCCGCTGAGAGGAATAGGAAGGCAGGTCGTTTGCCTTCCCGGGTCTCTAAGGTAACTCTATAGGCGGCTGCTGCTGCAGTACCCCGCTGCCAGAGCATGCAGGAGAAACCAAGATGTGTGGCAAAAGGACAAGCAGCATATGTTTCCATGAGCCACGCTCAGTGCACCGTATGATTTGCTTCATCTGCTTTGAAATGAAGAAATGTAACATCGATAAAACTAACTGCCAAGTTACCAGAAAGAGAAATTATTTTGACATGCTGATTTAGAAAAAAGTGCCAATTCCTGCAAGAAAAGAATTTTGACATAGACAAACTAGTTTCAGATGCCTTCACCCCAGACCACTGATTCCAACTGTGCATCTTTCTGGACGCTGAGTGAGGCTTCGCTTCTCACCCAGCCGAATTACCACACGTGCCGGACGCATACTCACTGCGGTCCATGGCTGGGACTGGCGTTGGGCTGGGAGCTGGAGAGGCGCCTGGCAGAGCTGGTGACCCCAGGGCTCCAGCATATTTCGCGGACCAAGAGCTGTTCTCTTGTCCCATCTCTACATGTGCTCTGAGAGTGGCGTTGAGGGTGGGAACACCAGCATCCCCTGTGGCCGGCAGAGCTGTACCAGGACCACCTTGAGAGTTAGCTTGAGGCACACCAAAAGCTGTGTGACTTCCAGTGGTAGCAAAGGCCGTTTGATTTGGAAACACTAGCACTGGCGAACTGAGTTGCTTTTGCCTAGCTGCGCCCATGGGAGCATTTGTGAGAGCAGCCGCTCGCTGCGATGCACCGGGGGAAGCCTCTGCCACAGAGCTTTGCTGCGACGGACTTATGGCCGCCTGCTGCTCTGTGCTTACGGCCAGTTCCTTGCTGGCTGCCACCCCCGTGGCCGTGGGGCTGTTGTCCCTGCCGAAGCCCATCTGTCGTGCCAGGCCTTTTCTCCAAGGGGCTGGAGGAGCGCTGGTGGGAGAATGACCGTGCGGCATTTGCTTGTCACCCGGGGGCAGTGCAGCAGGGAGGTGTATGGTGGTGCTCATCTCGGAGCCTACAGCAGCCACCGTCTCGGTGGTGGCAGGGAAAGCAGGGGCTGCAGGGCTTCCTTCTTCAGGAGCAAACTCTGTGCTGTTTGTTACTTCAGGAGCTGTCGTTTCAGTGAGAGGGTCCACAATCTCACCTGCAACACAGCAAACGCAAATTGAAATGGGACCTCAAACTGGATGAGGAGGCACCAGGGTCTGACCTGAAAATGGGGCTGAGACCACTCAGCCATATGTAATAGCGTTACAGAAACAGGTCTTGGGTATTTCATTAACACATTGTAGCATATGTGATTTTCATGGTGTTGAATCTGGTTTGTGCCTACACAAAGAAGCAGATTTGATTCCTGGGTCTCCTCTTCTGGTTGGGAGGGCATGGGTCGTTACAGAGGGAGGAAATTAGCCATAGACATACCAAAAGAGGGAAAAGTATGTGTCATGTTTCTCTGCAGTCATCCATTTGCCTAATCAAGAAGGATCTCAGAGAAGACACATAATCTGAAGACACATATAAGGTTCACCTTCATGTTCAGAGACAGATCATATATATGCCTTCAGCCAGAGACTGCAAAGATGCATCTATATACATGTTGTGCGCTATATAAATAGTTGCAGTAAAAGCAGAGGTAGAAAAACACAATTGATTCCAACCTTTCACGGCTAGGAGAAACTACATGCCAGTCTTTTGCTCACCCTCACAGTTTCTTCCAGGTCGGGATGGATTGGTATCCATGGTTGTCTTGCATCTGCACAGGTACGAGCCCATCAAATTGATACACTCTGCAAACACAGAGCAGTCATTCTCGGTCTGAGAAGCACATTCATCCCAGTCTGTAAGACCAAAACCAGAACATTGGTCAGACAGCCTCCCTTCTGGCTGCATTAAGCTAGAAATAATCATAAAGTAGTCCTTTCTTCAGTTTCTGAATTTATGAATGTGGTCTTCCTTTTTCACCATTTACCTGACAGCCAAGCTCAGAGTGATATAGAACACTATGTGTGTTGTTATTCTCTCACATAAAAATCAACCTTTGTCCTTGTACTCTGAAAAATATTTTCTCCAGGTAAAGACCTTTTTAATAATTTTTTTAAAAGTAAGCATTTGTTTGAAGTGAAAAAAATACTATAGGTTTGTACTATAGCTACATCAAAAGCATACATTATATCAATTTCTGCGTACAGTACCTCCAGATACATCAAGTAATGAATAGATCTGTTACCACTAGCCACCAGTAGATAGAATATTAAATAGAGATTTAATCCAAACAATTTTCTGCTTCAAATAAAAGGTAAATGCAAGTAACTCCCACAAGAAGCACTCTTCAGTTCTTAACAGAAGAAGTGCTAAGGGCAAAAACTCTTTTTAGAAAAGATTTTTTCTCAAAGGTAGAACAGTAAAACTGTGACCCTCTTTCTGGTAGTCTCAGAAAAGAGATCCTGGTTCATCAATGCATGAATATGCTCTAAGGGTGTTCCTTATTTCTAATTTCTGCTTCTCTGAATCAGTTAGAGATGCTTCTTTTGTGGAGTTATAGATCTATTTTATTTCCCAGCCTCTTCACTTTTAAGGGATTTAGATCTGGAGTTTTATATTACCATTCGCACCCTGTTCCAACAAACACGCAAAAGCCAAGTTAATGCTTTGGACATGAATAATCTGTGAATTCCATGTGAGCCCTCCCTGTGTGCACTCCCTTGTACATACACCTTCACTGCCTCAGGGCCCTAAGTGAGGGAGAGCAGAAAACTAGACTGAAAACTGTGTCTTGGGACAAATAATTCTGATCACAGGCTAGAAAATTGTTTTGAACAATGCATTATCGTAAGTGCTTGTTCTGCAAACATGCAGAGATTAATCACTGTGATTATTTCTCTGAAACAAAGGAAAGTCCCATTCTAGAAACAGAAAGCGCAGAGCAGGTGCGTGCATGCACATACATGCATTCATCTTTGTGCTTGCAGATAGCCTTCCCCTTCTACTTCTTTCCAGTTAATATTTCAATTATTTTTCCTTTCTTCCTCATTAGATAATTGTTGTATCCATGATAGTTTCCATTAGACAATTTCATGTGCCTATGGCCAGCATCTGCCTCTTACATTACAGCCTAAGCCACTTAGAGGGAATACAAAAGTATGCAGGATTGACTAAAGCACCAGCAATGAAAGTGCTCTCATTAATGTCTTACTATGCTATGAGGTAATTGTGACTCTTGATGGCTTCAAACACCATCTGAGAGATGTTCCTGTGCTAATTGCTAAATAACGTACATTCACCGGCTCCGTTGTCTCTGAGGGTTTCCTTTCTCATCACTTAGCATGGCTTTTTAAGCAAATTCCTTCACCTCTGACGGCCACATTCAATCACGCATCAGGCGAAAACACTTATGTTCTCTTCTCAGTGCTCACTGGCACTAGTACATCACTCATGCACATACATGCACACACACACTGCACTTTTTTCCTCTATAACCATTGCGTCCCACGCAAGGTGTGCTCTGTGCTCTCTTTCTGCACTCTTGGAGTCTCTCTGGCCTTTCACATTTGGCAAGTACCTTCCCCACACACACCCCTCAACCAATAGTCCTACGCCAAGAATTATAAAAAAACGACCTTTGTGTTCGCTCTGATTACCCATTATACCTGTAAGAGGTAGGTGCAATGGGTAAAAATCTGTTAAATTCCTTGCCTAACAATGTTGCAGATGCTAAAGGCTTGCATGACTTCACAGAGAAACCCAAAGAAATCACTTTGGATTCAGGGAGTCCTGGAGCTGAAAATAGTTGGTGGCTGAGAGAGTTTTTGTGAGAGGCATCGTCTACCCTTGCTGTATTCTTACACTTCTCCAGGAGTTGGCTCCTGGCTGCTACTGAGGATGTAATATTGTGCTAGATGGATCTTGGACCTGACTCAGCACACGTCCCTTTCTCTTTCCTTCCCATGCCTCACACAACAGACAGACATTTTGGTGTCTCTATTAATCATGGCAGTAAACTCAATAATTTATGAGCCTGCAAAGAGAGGTGCAATTGCTCCACTCCCTTCATTTGTGCTATCCCTTCTGACTTCTCATCCTTGCTGTTTCAAAGTTGAATTCCCTGCTCTGCCACTGTCACTAAACCAAGCACGTAGCCTTTTGGTGGCCAGGCTCCACAGAGGATCCAGGTGGCATTGCTCCACTGGTGCAAGAGGAGCTCTGCGGGCTCACTGCCAAAGGGCACGTCCCAGGGCTCTCAGGGGTCAGGAAGCAATACAGCCCAGCATATAAATCTTTCCTTCATGTGCTGCACTCCTTCACCTTATTTTCCACATTTAACTTTAGGAAACTCATGTCAAACAAAAGCTTGTTTGGGCAGAGCTAAGAAATAGACCCCTTTTCTCTACCCCTAAGGAGGAGTTGGCTGTGCTCCTGGCTCAGGGCGGTGCTACTGGAAGCCAGCTGGCTTTCAGCAATTAAAGTAACAGTCCAGAGCTATTGCCTTCTTCCTCCCCACTCTTTTGGTCCCAGGATCAATAATGTTTGTATTTTGGCATACATCAGCATCTTGCAATTCAGTATCTGCTACCACTGTGATATTTGTAGGCTTCAGGTGCAATTTGCCTCTTCTGTTGTTTTCCTGTCCTGTTCCCCTTAACCTCCATATGCTCTGCAACTTCAAAGGGAGTTTTCCCTGATCATAGTAAATAAGCTTTTAAGGGCTCAGTGCACTGGGGGAGAAGAATAACCCATTCTGTTGGCTTTGGCAACTCCCTGAACTCTGGCTGGCTCTGCCAGCTGGGAAACCTGAAGCCAGAACTTAATCCTTTGAAGATAAAAATGGTGATTACTGAAGATCAAATAAAGGCCTAGTTTAACATAAATTCCATACATATTTCTTTAGTCCTATTCAGAGGACATTTGGGAATTTCTCTAGATGGATTTCTATAGTGAAGATGTTAGATTTCTTTTCTTAAACCCTGGCCCAAATACAGCTCCACAGCCTTGAAGCACAAAACCGTCTAGAGGGCATGTGTATGCTAAAGGCTACAAATATTCCACAGTAATCCTATCTGCAATTCAGTGCGAGAAAGATATGGCAAACTTCCAACTGCTCACAAGAAGGAGAGAGGAAAATTAATAGGGAAATCAAGGGCTCTACTCCTCCTTAAACACAGCAGAGGGAAGCGGCGCCTGCAGGTACCCGGGGACAGCCAATGCTCCTTCTTCTGACCCCTTCTGGGCTTATGGATAAAAGCCCACAGAGGAGTTTCATGTCATGGTTTTCCCTCCAACAAGCTCCACATACTTTGTCTCTCTATAAAGTATTTTTCATGAAGAATGCTGGTGATACTGTGTGTGATCAATACAAACCCTGTTTTGTTGTTTGGAAAAAAAAAATTTTAAAAATTACCTTCTACTACAGTGTTTTGCTGATCCACCAAAAGCACAGAGCCATTGTACAGGTAAGAAAGCACAAGGGCAAATGTGGAGGCATCGACTGGGAACTCGGGGTCCTGCACAGTGATTCTGAGCCTCACAATGATGCTTCCGGCCTGCAGGGATTCGGTCTGCACTTTCAGCTTCCCAGATTTGTATAAAGCAGAAATGTTGGTTGGAAATGAATTTTCAAGCTGAGCAAAGGGAGAGAAGCATCGACAATTAGGAACCCAACAGGAACAGCTCCTTTTAAAACTGAACTATGGTGGTACCATTTTAAAGATTTATATATGCACAACATAGAAAATGTTGTAAAAGTAAGAGTTTCAAAGTGTTTCAGAGATCTTACCTTTCAGAGATTATTGAGGCACAGAGAAGTGTGAGTCTCCTTGGTGCACCTAGGTACCCTTGAAAATGGTACCCATCTGACCATTGATCTTACAAAACAAATTTCATTTAGGCTCAAGGGAGCAGAATTCCTTCTGCCCCTGTTTGCGTGCATCACAGCTGAATTGGCCCTGCATGCATCAGACCCTCAATGTTAGCTCTGTATGTCACGTAAGCTTTTTGTCCCAAGCCTCCTATACATTCACCTCTGCACTCCCAGACACTGGAACTTGGTCATCTCCACTGTTGCTGGAGCAGACTCTGCCTTGATTTTGGCTGCTACCAGCTAGCAGTCCCCCAGGCAGTACCCAGGCAGAGTCTGACACTTAGCATCGGCCAGGGGCCGGTCCCAACAGGCAATCTGAATGGGATCGCCGTACTTCGGAAGACCCAGCTGCACGGATGCAGGCTGGTTTGTGCCAATTGGTGTCAGTGTCAGAGAATGGTTCAGGAAGTTTCATTTAGCAGTATGGGCATAGCTTTAGCTCCCAGGGATTATTTGAAACTCACCAGTGCAAATCCAGCCTGCAGCCGAGTATAAGGACAAAGAAATCTCAGGACGAGAGACAAGAAAAATGGGGGTGGATAAGTTCAAGAAAATGTGTTTGAGACAGCCCAGCTTCAAGGCAATATCACAATTATGGTTGACTACCAATTCGGTAAGTAGACACATCAGTTGAACAAATGGTGTTACTCTGAACATTAAAGATGACATACTGCTGTCAATATTTGAGCTGTGCAGGAGGTGGCAGTTTTGCCTTACACCTCTAGAAGGCATCTCCGTGCGTGAGCCTTTTGTTCCTGCATGCACCTCAAACCATGCCTTTGAGCACGCAATGCAGCACCATAAATCAACACAGCTTTGCTCCAAAGCAAAGCCAGAGTTTGCTTCAAAAATTCCGACAAACAAGTTGTTTAACTGGTCTAAGTTCAGATCAGGGTGGGGAGGCAAGAAAAAGAGAGGAGAGAGAAAGTGAGAGGGGGATGTTGTTCTCCCAAACACCCAAGGAGGCAGAAGCAACACAGATGGGCAGTGCTCCCTTTCCTTCCCAACCTCCTGATGCCAATTAAACCTACATTAGTCTCAGAGGAGATTCACTGACAAAAATCCTTCTGCACAACAAAAGCAAACAATTCGCAGCTATGGGAAATAAAACCATGTCAGGAGGTTCAACTTGCAATTTCTCATGAGCAAACGCCTCTTCTGTGCTGCCTTTGAAAGTATAGCTCCGTTATTGGTTTTTTTCCTCATATTTTTATTCACATATGTTTATGAGTCCTCCTTTGTTTTGGGAAAGTCTAATTTTAGATGGAGATTCCAATTCCTCTGTATGAGCCCTGTTCTCTACAGCAAACTGTAAGAGATTGCTGCGTCTGAAAAGTCCCCCCTGTTTGGGAAGCTGAGAGCTGGTAACAGACTTCACGGCTCAAGTTTTGTTCATGGCTGATTACACCTGAGCATGGACAGTGGCTCCATGTGCACATGCAATGAATGGGGCTGCAGAAGAAAGCCTGACCCCATCACTTTTCCTTAAGAAGAAAGAGCTTTGAGAGCAGTGAGACATTTATTGAGAAGACAGAGCTGAAACGAATGCCAGCAATGTCATTTCAATAATCCATTAAAAAGCTTCAAGTCAATTTAGTGTCAGTTTATTGCCAAACTAAAGATCCAAGGAAAGGAGTCCCTGTTGCATGCCTGCATTTTTAATTCTTTTACTCTTCTGTAGAGGAAAATTCTCATTGGCTCCATTGCTAATAAGGCCAAGGACTTGATCTGTTTGTTCAGTTGAATTTTGTTTCAATTATAAAGAAAGGTCACAGGAAACAGTATGATGATTTTCAAGGGATATTTCAGCCAGGCATAAAAACCTCTATTACATTAAATAAACTCTAAATTGAAAAAAAAATATATTACACACAGATATTTTAGCATTACCTCTGTAAGCAATAGTCTTGAAAATTCTTCATATGCTGAGCTGCTGGCATTATGGAAATCATCAGTGAAGTTGTAGTTGAGAATCCTCATAGTAACACCAAATATCTTGGCCTCTGTAGGACACAATTATTAAAACACACACTGACAAAGCAGAAGAGGAAAGGATTCAATCAGTGATGTACCCAGACCAAAATCTCAGTTGAAGGAGGGAGAAGGGGGGCAGAAGACAGAGAGTTTGGTATTAAACCAAGAAAATAAAGCCAATATTCCGCTACAAGCTTCCTATACATTGAGGACTTACATCAGGTCCATAAAGACATTTAGGTGCCTAATTACAACGGCATAAGAACTGGGTATACACATATCCTTGTGGACCTGACCCTACATGACTCCTGCATTTGAGTTACATCCAGGGTTGAATTGCCTGTGAGCTCAATTCTGGTCCACCAGTCACAATTATTATTTTTTTCCTGATCTTGGTAGCGTGGATGACTGAAAATAATAATAAAAACAGTGCATGCCACTTCTCTATCTGGTAAGCCCTGACAGATAACGTACAGAGCACGTGAGCCAAAACCAAGAGCCAAGGAATCTTATTAACCACTTTAACCTGTATAAACAATCTGAGGCTGTTACTCTTTGGACTGACCTTTGGAAAACTTTTCTTTTTCTCAAGGGCTCCAACTTCATCCTCTGACGTTCAGCCCCCTGTTTCCGTAACCACTAGACCTCCTACTTTCCCTCTACAAAGGGAGCAATTTCCTTCTGACCCAAACTGGAATCGTCTCTCATCTGATCAAAGGGAAGGCTCTTATGGATAAACATAAACAGCAGCATTCTCACTGTGGCCAGTATTAAATAGCACACTGCCTGCTTTCTGAAGAAAATGTGGAGGGATTTATTTCTTTATTTGCATGAAGGCTTAGGAAATAATTTAAGGATAAAGGAAAAGCAAAATTATGATTGATCAACACACCAGGGTCTCAGGGAGCTAGGATCACTAGCTAATTGAACAAAATTATGCAGGTATTCTGCAAGCTTTCTTGCACAGCCCTTGTTATTCCCTTTAATCCTGGTCACTCACAAATATTCAACCAAATCTGGCCTTCCTCTGGGCACTCTTGTTAGCTCAGCTGAGCCCTTGACAAACCAGTTGACTGGGTTTCTCACTGGCCACTGCCGTCAACCAGGACAAATGGGGCCTGATAGGAGATGGGTGGCAGCAGAATGCAGTGCCAGGCACAAAAAAAAAGAAAAAAAAGTATTCTAGCTTAGCCTGATATCGGTAATAGTCTAAGTCAGCTCCAGCACTGCATTATCAACTAAGGTCAGAGCTCTGCTGCCTGATAGTCTGGATTGCATAAATGCTGGGGTAGAGAGAAAAAGTGCTGAAGGAGGTGGAAAATGGAGTTCAGGGAGGACCAAATGGATCATTGCTGAACTGCAAGTGTGTGGAGAAAGAGAGAGAGAGAGAAAAAAAAAATTATGTGTATTTTAAAGTAGCTATTTACCTGTTTTAACATTTTGATGGGAGATGCTGGTTTTTCCACAGGTTTCATAGCTGATCTCCACTGAATACATCACACCTGCTTCTAGTCCAGACACTTCTATTTTCATTTCCTCTGTCTTCAAGTTTTGTATAATCTCTTTGCCCTTGAACACTTGGACTTGGAAAGTATGGTTCAGAGTAGAAGTGACATGCCAGGACATTTCAAAACTGTTGCTGGTAACGCTGGAGATTCGGTGGTTTCTAACTACAGAGGCATCTATCGCAGTCCCAGGAAGAGTCATCACAGAAAAATCAACATTTCATGTTTAAAGCATTGTGCTATTCTAAGTCCATTATAGACAAGGACTTTGACAATCAATAGGGGAAGCTCCTTTTTACATTACATCAGGACAGATTCTGCCCCTCTCAGAGCACCAGGTACCCTCATCCATGAACCATCCCATTAGGGTGATTAATTGGGTGCTTACTCTTTTTATTTCCTTTTACTATACCTATTCATGTTGAATCTCTAGTAACACTAATAATTAGCCAGTGAGCTACAGGTTCAAGCAACAGAAATAAGTTTGGAATAGTGAATCTGTGTACTCTACGTATGTTGACACCTGCTGTGCCTCTTGTCACTTTAATCATCAAAATGCACCTCTTCAGGCAAAGGCTGCCTTGATTTATGCCTGGAAAAAACCCACAGACCCCAGCTTTTACAGGCTGGGGGCAGTCTTGGACAGCATTTCACCTATTTATGCCACGCTAGTCCGGTGCAATCATTGTCATGTCAATGGGAAAAGACAGGAGCCTTCAGAGATGATTCCTCTCCTCAAAGGAGGAGGAGGTGTCTAAATTGGATTAAATGCCTTCCAGCAGAGCCTGTCTGCCTCGACTAACTAGAGAGAGCCCAGACTAGACACCTCTCCTGTAGACAGCTGGGGTCAGGTGAGATGAACATCATCCCCCACGCTAACCTAGAGACCATGGCATGCTGCTGCCACAACTTCAATTCTTTCATGCTAATGGTTAGCCTGAGAAAAAAGTTTGTTTTCTTAAATTGTTTCAATAGGACACAATTGTTTCCAGGCCTCTGAGCCAGGTGGCTGCCAAACACCCCCAAAGCCATACTGCCCCTGACCTAGGGGGACTTCAGTTTAATTCCTCTAGCTTCAGCTTGGAACAGAAGTTGCAGATGAAGATCAACAATAGCCAGCCTGTCTCTCTGAACTAGGCAAAGAACTGCTTAAAGCTATTTCCTCCCACAAGAAGAACAGGATGTTGTTATAAAAGCATTGTGATAACTCTCACCTGAAAGGGCTGAAGTCACCCATATAAAGACAAATCTACTGGGGTTTGTTCCCCCCATAGTCCCTTAGACAGCTATCATGTATAGCAGGGAGAGTATTCACAAAGGCTAACTCCACTGTAGAGTAGCTTTGACCAACCTCCCTGACTCATGTGCTCCACCAACATCTTCACAGACTCGAAAGCCAGAGGCCCTCATCCCGGTGGCTGTGGCCAGGAGGAGCTCCTGTGGTCAGTAGCAGATCCTCCCATATCTCATTCCAGGACAAGCCTGGGACATGTAGCTGGGTCCAGGGCGAGTGAGTGGTGCTGGCCTCCCACAGCCCTCACTGGCGTGCTTCTCGCACTGGTGGATTATCCAGCACGAGCCCTATGATGGGACCTGCACTTGAATGGTTCACCAGGCACAAGTGGCTCAGGAAGCCAGCGCGGCCACCTCCACTTCCAGGAGGCCAGTTCCCTTCAGTAGCCATGGGAATAACAGTGGGGCTTCTCCAGTGGTCACAGCACTACAGACCCCAATGAGAATGTCCCCTTGGGGGAGCCTCCCTCTTTCCGTTTCCATAAGTGGAGATTCACTCCAAAACTATTACCAGCTTCTGTGAACACCCTCCTGTAACTCAACCAGCCCCAGGACAAAGGGATCAAAGAGTGGGTCAATTAAAAGCAAGACAATATTCATTCAAATTCAAGGTTACTTACAGCACCCAGCATCTGTTGCCTGGCTAGTCATGGACAAGAGATTTGAATTACTTATAGACAGAGAGCTATTGCTAGTGTTAATGAGATCCAACGCTGAACTTGGAGTAGATGCTGCCATGCCTAGGGGAAAAATAGTAGTATCGAAGAGTTAAAGCATTCCTAACAAAAAAAAATCCAAAATAATACCATTCATGTTTTCCGCAGCTGAAAAGCAGCAATAGAAGTAATATAAATAGAAATGAAAATAAACGTATTATCATCTCACAAAAGCATAAAGTAATACATTATCTTAATTTTTGAGATTAAAGGATTGTAAAATTGTTTTCTAACTAAAGCATTGAATCTGCAAGCACTTATTTATCTCATTATCTTTAAGCCTATTAGCAGGCCCATTGATGTCTGTGGGCTGTCAGTACACGCCTCTATATTTTGCTGAACTGGTACTGCAAAGCATTATTTCACCCATTGCCAAACTCCGTCTGCCTCCAGCAGAGGACCCTGTATAATCCAGGGTGGGATTATACAACCACGGAGTCGCGGCTGCAGTCACGCCATCAAAATGGGAAGGAGAGCTCATGCACAAGTAGCGTCACTAACCGTACTTCCCCAGGAGGCCGGGGAGGTGTACTGACACTGAGTGACCTGCTCTGAGAAGCAGTCAGGGTCTGAAGCTAGAGGGTTTGGCAGGTGTGTGAGGAAGCTGAGGGTGAGATGGGAGAAACTGCCAGGTACTGCGAAAGAGACGGACTGCATTTCAATCAGAAATAGCTAACGGCTGGCTTATGTGGCATCTTCTCCCAACAGGAGGAGAAGGGGCACTGTGTGCTCCAGAAATCTTTGCCTTGCAGGCGGCTCCTGCGATAGACCACAAAGTCCTGCAGAAGCGTTCTCAGTATTTCCCAAGGTGAGACCTACGTTTCTTACCTTCCTTCCTCGGGCTCAGCTGGTGAGGGTTGACATCGGCATGTTCATGCAGAGGGTCGCAGCTGTAATAACCCTCCAGATTTACACAGGTGTTTTTCTCAGGACAAGCGTTGAATTCGACATGGGAACATTCATTGACATCTACGAAGAAGAACGCACCTTGCATAGATACTGATATCAACGTCAAGATTGATCTGCAATGTGTGTAGACCAGGTTCTGGATATGATAAATTCAGTGTAAATCTGCAGTAACTCTGCTGAAGCAATTCTGGGTGTATATGGGTGCGATGAAATCAGAATGCTGCCCTTCCCCGAAACTAGCCCCCATTCAGTTATAACCCTATCACTTTTTACTCCAGTTCACTGGAATAAGAGGACAGTTAGTGGCAGCTCTTGCTTACAGTTGCAGGGTGTCATTCAAACCTAAGAGTTGTCAGCGGCAGGGAGGAGATCTACCCAGTGATTTCACTGAAAGTTGGACTTAGTTTTTTTGAAAAAACAAAGAATAAGACACACAGTAAACACAGAATAAGAAGTGATGACAATGGTGCTTATGGATGCATTTCAGGAGTGAAAATGTTCAGATAACTCACAGTAATAAGTAGATTAAAACAATTTAAACCAAATATATTTAAATATTTACCTAACATTTAAAAAGTAGGTAGTAATATGCTATAGTAATTAACAGACTATAAATACTCCTTGTTTCATGCAAGCTATTGGAAGTAATACATGTCCATAAAAACAGACTATATCTGCTTCCCAAGAATACTTTAAACACTTTTTTAAGAGCCTGTTTAATACAACTAATGATTGTGCTACAAATTTTGAACACCTTTGATTTTTCATGTGAAGATGGTCTATGCTATGCTACTAGGAGAAAATAAATTTGAGGAAGCAGGAGTATTCCCCTCCAAACTATTCACTCCAAAGTAATTATTAACTAACTACAACCCTCTCCCTCCTATAATGGATTGGTTAGGGCCATATTTGCAAAGTTTACAAGATTCACTACGTTATTTTTGAAAGCAAATTGATAGTCATACAGATGAAATCCCAAGTGAAGATGGATGAAGCCCCCTGAAAAAGCTTCCCCCCATGACAGGATATATATTATAATAATTAACCTTGCACTTCCGTGTCAATCACTTCATACACACGCTTCACAATGTCCTTCAAGGAAGAAGAAACCTCCGCTAGCGGAGCTGGCTGATGCAGTCCAATGAGAACCTGGGAGGCCACTGTCCCAGCGTATACTTCTGCACGGTTACTCTGGATATGGTGCACAGAGGCATCCAAGGGCTGTAATGCACCAGTAATCTGGAAGACAGCAGAACAAACACTTTGGTATCTCACTTCTTTATCAGCACAACTGTATGCCAGAGGCATAACCTGTGCAATGATTATCATCATAATTTGAGTGTAGAAAGCACCAATTCACAAACATAGGAAAGTGGCAACATTTAGGTCTGTATTTATGCAAGTGAGCTCTTCTTATTATCACATTTCACAACAGAGTTACAGGACAGTAATGCCAAGCTAAGAGAGATGTGGAGCTTCATGTCAGATCTCAAATGCTAAGGCAGGAGGATGCAACCCAGGAAGATAAGGAAAAAGTCTCTTTGGCTTGTAATGCTTAGACATCAAAATCTCAATAGACAGAATATACTTTAGACATGCTATTACAATTCATCTGTAATAAAGCTGTCCAACACTTCTTACTTTAAGGAACTAAAAAGACTGCTGGCAAAAGGAATAGAAAGAAAAAGAAGAAAAGCAATAGACTGAGCAAGAAGGCTGGGACTAAGAGCCACAGAGAGACCCCAGGACTGACCAAGTCATCACAACTGCGACACAGGATTCAGAGAAGGGACATGGTGGTGGGCTGAGCACTAGGAATCAGTGGAGCAGGCAGGGCCTAAAAGACATTCCTCTGAGTAGGAGCTCATTGCAAAGCTTCAATTTATATTTCCTATTTTTTGAGTGTTTGACTTTGCCATAGCTTGCTTTAGACAAGATATGAAAGTCTTGGTAAATCATTGCCCTCTATTCCTTACTATAGAGCAACAGGACCAGGGTTTCTCACTTTTTTAGGATGTGAGAAGGGTGAATTCAGGTAGGAGGAAAAAGTAAATTCATGCAACATCATTATGCTACTGCTACCTTCTATTCTTCTGCCCATCAGTGCTAATTGATGATGGGAGAAGGGTTTCCTTCGCTACTAGCCCACTCCCAGCTGGAAACTGCGGAGGAGTAGAAATAAAAATGGAGGGAAATAGGGAACTGCCCTCTTGGGTACATTTCAAAGGCCACATCCATGGTTTTCTCCATGGCATGGTGATATGTACTAGGGAAATGCTTCAAGTTTGTGGCCTGGAGGATCTTCGTCCTAGTTCATCAATCTGTTTCCTAAATACCACTTCGAGGACAGAGCAAGCCCTGCTCTCTGAGCGTGGCTTTAGTTTGCAGCCTCGTTCTTCCTGCAGATCCTCCTTTCAGGAAGCGTTGGGCTGTGCTAGGGCTGTGTTTTTCTTGGTTGCCTCGGACTCTTCCCACCTGCCGTGTCAGGGATAGGGAAAGGCGCATCGTGCTGCTGTCACGCGGCCGTGCATGCACTGTTGCCAACGCTGCTGCTAATACATGCACAAGGCAAAACCTCAGTCCTACAGCAAAAGCAACACCCTGCTGTCTCCCCCAGCACTGTGGCAAGAATGACAACGAAATGCCCTTGACCCAGACACAGTCCCCTTCCATAATCCTGGGGTTTCACAGTGAAACTTCTGGCGCTGCTGAGTCCACCTGCCATGTAGTTCCCAGTGCCATAGATCAGGTTTGTCTCTTGAAAGGTGTAACTCAAAACTCCTTATCAGAAAACATCACGCTTTGCAAGTCTCGAAATCCAGACCCTGTTGGTCATAGACCCAAAACTGAACTGAGCTGGAGCTGAAGCAAGCAATTCTTAAGCAGGAAAAAAACCTATATTTCAGAATGTCTTTAAATTGCCCTCAGAAGAGGCCTGAAAAATTTACTAAAGAAGCTGATAAGTCAATGTTACTTGAGCTCCTTGAGAATGAGGCTGACATTCATCAATTAGGGATAAATTAGGGCCCAAAAAAATTATCTGGCAAAAGAAAGAGGGAGCGACTGGCTGGCCAGGTTATGCCCAGCACAGAGGACTGCGAGATCCCTCCCGGGCTGGAGCAAATGCTGGTTACTGAGTAACAGAAGCGTGGACACAACGAGCAACGCACTGGGAGCGTTCGTGTTTGTACGTACCATGGAGTGCAAAAGGCGTGAATGATTCAGAAGGTGGGAATCCACTCTGATTAATTCATTAAAATCCATTTTCACAAGCACTGTCACATTGTACCAGAATGTTCTTCCTGAAGCGTACAAAATAAAAGAGGCAAGTCATCTCAGGTCTGATGCTATAGAAAGCGACAGAGCTATAGGAAGGCTCTGAGAAACTGAAACAAGCTTTAACTTGGCAAATACGAAGGGCCCACGTACAGCCGTCAGCTATGGCCTCGTTCGCCATATGCCGCAGGCAGCGGCGCCGGTGAAGGAGAAAAACCTGAGCAAAGTCCACTGGACCCGCAGCACCCGCGGATCAGCACTGACGGGTGTGTGCTTGTTTTGGCCATACTAGCTACTATGGAAAAAATTAACTCTATCCCAGCCAAAAGCAGCACAGAGTGCAAGTACTGAAAATGAATATCCTGGAATTGATCCAAGGCAGATTCCTGTATTTGTTTTATGAAGAGCTATGGTAACAGTTTTCCTGCCCACTCCCACCCTCAGAAGGAAAAATAAAGCGTATTTCTATTAGAAGCAGTCTTGAGTTTATCACTAACATACCCTCTGGCATTGGATCCACACAGCCTGCTCCTTTGGATGAGTTGCAGCATTTTTTAAGCCCTGGACATTCAGTATCGAACGTGCAAGAATAATCAGATGTTTCCATATTCTCCATTGGACAAATACCAGGTCTTGAGGCAAATACACTGGATCTATTGAGTGCTAAGTAATAAAAACATTTCTGAGAACAAAAATATAGAAAATCGTTTCCATAAAATTGTGCTATTTAATTTACAGCAAACACCTCCTCCTCATTTTACAAGTCTGTTCTGAAGTTTTCATGGGGAGAAAATAGCAGCCTAAAATACCATTATTTCATTTCAAGAGTGTAAATGTTCTCAGATTTTTCTCTCATTCATGACATTTCTGTTACAGAAATTCTGAATTTATAATTTTCAATTAATAATTATGCATAGATAGATAGTTTCTGAATGTGGAGACATTGAAGCACTGCAAAACAGGAAATGTGCCTGATGTCAGCTATGACTGATCCAAATAATATAAAATGATCAAAGGAAACAGGTAATGTCTAAGCTAGAAATCGGGAGTTTTCATTTAACCTTTTGTTGTGACAAAGTTAACCTTTAGTTATAGTAATTGAAGATGTTATGTGAGAGTGGAGACAAAATGCTGTTCTTGGGTAGTTCAGTGGGTTACAGAGAGGGGCAGGAGATCAGAACTGAGCCCGCAGTCTGCAGCCTGGCAGCACCCGCTCCATTATCTAGTTGAAGATTGCAGGGGGGTTGGACTAGATGGCCTTTAAAGGTCCTTTTCCAACCCAAACTATTCTATGAACTATTCTACGATTCTATATCAGCCAGCCAGCCATTCCAGGAAGTTGGTAGCCCACGCTGGACAGCCCTGCAGAGAGGGCAACTAAGGCAGAAGGTTACTGCATCCCAAACCAAGGGCTGGCTCAATGCCAGCACATACTCTTCTCTGGAGGAAAAGAAAAAATATTTCTAAGTTCTACGAACATTGCTTTCACCCACGCTCTCAAACACAGCTCTAGTCTTTCCAATCAACCTAAAAGATTCCTCTTTTCTATTCATTTCGTGCCTAAAGTTTTTTGATCCTACAAACTCTTGATCCATTACCGACCAATTAAAGTCATCCACTGGACATAGAATCATACTTGCATAAAGAAATAGCCTGTTAAGACCAGTGGTTTTAAGACTATAGTCTGTGTCTTTTTGGTGGCCCAAAGTATGCTTGTCAAGGGTCTCTGAAAGGTAATTAAGAAAAGTAAGCATAGCTTAATGATGGGGGTCCATACCTCCATTGAAAAACCTGCCAAAACCCACAAGCTGGAGAACAGTGCACTGAGTTGAGACCTCTCAGCACATGCAGGTTAGTTGCAGGTGTAATTTCAAAGATTTGCATGCACAATACATGGGACAGCACTTTCCCACACTCTTTTATATTGTATTTGATACACTGTGCGTGTACGCTTTGTGTGCACACGGTCAATGAGAACAAGCTTTAACAGGGCTGTGAGCATCTTTCAAACAGAGTTGGCATTAGACCCACAAGAGCTCTGGGCAGCAAATTAGGAAACTCTATCCCCAACCCCAAGGAACGGCTGACTGCCCTACAGGGAGCAGGATTTGCCCTGCTACCTAATGCAGCCTAGTGTGGGCCCCTTCACGCCTGCAAACCAAGGGCCCTTGCCCTCCTTAGTCTTCCCCAGGACCAACTCTGCCTCTGAAGTCCATTTTGCGTCATAGGCCTAGGTTTGCAGTGGGAGGATGAGAAAAAAATAATCAACCCTGCACAATCTTACTCAAGTTGCTTCTGGGTCCAGCAAGCCCCAGTAGTCTTACTCTGCTTCCCAGCATGGACTAGGAACCTCTACTTCTGGCTCTGGGGCTGGCACTATGGGCCATTCCCCCAAACTGGTCCTACTGCTAGAAAGCCTCTTCCCAATTTCTAGTCTAAAGCCACAATAATGTGTGATACAACCTCAGTTGCCCTGAGATGAGTCCCCCACACATTCCCAGTCTCACGAGATTGCTCCGCCCCAGCCTCCCGGGCAGAGAGCCTAAGCAGCTTCTCGCACCGGGAGCTTGCACAGACACAAACACCAAGGGATTTCCCTGTATTAGTACGTCAGCAGTGCTCCTCACTATTCAAACCAGGTGGATCTTGGTAAGCTTGACACAAGCATCTAAAAGTCTCCAGCTCTGAGATTCAGGTGCAGTTCAAGCAGGCTTGAGGTTCGAAGCAGCTTTTCCACCTGGGTTTTTTTTTGGCATGTTTAGCTGCGGTGTAAAAGATTTAATGAGTCACATGCAATCTCAGAAAAGACTGAATCCTGGCCAAGTGCCACATTAACCATTTATCTAAAATCAAAAGGTCATCACTTTCGCATCAGCGGAAACAGAGATGGATTCACATCACATTTCTGCCTAATTGTGCAGATGCACTTTGAAAATTCGATTTACGCTCTCCACTTCTATCATCTTGGGGACAGTCACCCACCAAGCAACACTGCCAGCACTGGGGAGCAAGCCAGCCAAATCCTCTGTCAGTCAGATAAAGTATAGGCTTTTCTGCTCCGTTATTTGCATAAACATACAGAAGCAGAAATGCAGCACCCAGTGCTTAGCAACGAAAGCTCAGTTACCAGCCTGCCCGCATGAGAGCTGCCAGGTCTGCTGCAGCCGCAGGATGGGGGGGATCTCCCGGGAGGCAGATGCTGAGGGACACCATTAGCTCAGCCATAAACTCCTTCCTCTCTCTCCTTCCACCTGGAGGGGCTGGGTTCCACCCAGAGGGTGCAGCAGAGCCAGGGACCAAAACCCTGCATTCGTCTCAGGCATCAGAAGGTGGAGACAAATCTATGGTATTATAGAAAGAGCTCCTGGCAAAGCCTGTTACAAAGGCAGACTGACAGTTTTCATTACGTGACCCTGTTTTGGGGGTCTTTGAGCATTGCTAGACTTTACCTGCTCATATGAATGCTTTCTATCTCAATTGCCTCTCTGGGGGTTAATCGGGATGGAGGGCATGTGCTGACAAATATTTAATACCTTTCCCTGAAAAGACATTCACTAGAACATATTCAGGAGCCATGGGCTGAAATTCGGCAAGGACGCAGCTGTTGGACAATGGAAGAACGTGGCTTTTGAAGCACAAAATCAGTCTGTGCATGCTCAGAATAAACTTAATGAGATTTAGCCACTGCCACCTCCAACAGGTTCATCCCCCCAGCAGCACCGCAACGTGGCCATGCTCTGCCCCGTCGGCACTCGCACTGGCAATCGGTGGAGAGCTGGCAGGGGCCTCTGGTGAGCCCGCAGCTCGGATGCGATTCTGGGTACCCCTGCTTCCCCTGGGGCATGCTGGCGGCAGATGGGGTACACCTGTCTCAAAGGGGGAAAAGGATCTTTGCGCAGGACTTAGCAGGGCTCGTTGAAAGAGCTTTAAACTAGATTTGAAGGGGGAAAGGGATAAAACCAGGCTCACTAGAGATAAGCCTGGGGCTGGCACGCCAATGTTCGAGGGACAGTGTGCTAGCGAGGTCCTTCAGTCTGCCATCTCAATGGAGGTAGGGGATGGAGATCCATGCGGCAGCAAAGACGCAAGGATTATGGATGAGTTAGAAACCACGGAAGCGCCTGAGAACAGTCGCATAGGAATTAGGGCTTCTACCCCCAAAAAGGTGGCAGGATCAATAGCCCAACTGAAGTGCATCTACACCAATGAATGCAACATGGGCAACAAACAGGAGGAGCTGGCAGCCATTGTGCAGCTGGAAAACTATGATATAGTTGCCATCATGGAAACATGCTGGGATGACTCGCACAACTGGAGCACTGCAATGGGCAGCTATAAACTCCTCAGAAGGGATAGGCAAGGAAGGAGAGGCGATGGGGTAGCCCTGTATGTCGGGGAGTGTTTTGATTGTCTGGAGCTTAATGATGGTGATGATAGGGTTGAGTGCTTATGGGTAAGAAACAGGAGGAAGGCCAACAAGGCAGATATGGTGGGA